ACTAATGTCAGTTTTAAATGCAAATATAAGAACATGTAATTTGTATATGGAATCCCTGAATCACATGATTTGTATTTCATAGCATGTGCATGCATCTGTACCTGGTTCTTACCAAAACAGTAACAATGCTACACAGATTGAAATCAACTATTTTTATTTCACATGCAGTACCTTCTACCAACACTCTGACTTCAGCTTACTGATGAGTAAGAAAGAAGGACTGAAAGGAAAAGGAACTATAGGTTTTCTATCTTTTCCTTCTCCATGTCACCATTTACAGGTCAGTTGTTGACTACTTCAGGGAATTAACATGAGTAAGAAATGATACATGTTTCTGGGAATACCATTGCCTTCTTCTGGGTAGCAAGTTCTGGTTCAAATGGAAAGTGTGGCCTCTTGGAAGTGTCAGGAACCCAGCTTAACACGTTAAGCACCATGTCAGTCACCGGTGACTGAAACGGAAAGGAAGACAAAACAGGCTTAGTGCTTAACATGTTAATCACTTTTAGATATAACACACTTTCCTTGTCCTTGCTTTGAGTCTTGCTGAACTCTGGCTCATTGGGGGACCACTGGAATTCTGAGCTCATGGGGATATAGGTATACAAATGGGCAACAAGGAACAATAAACAAGCATATTGCCTGTACCCCTCTTCTCACACCGATGTTCTATCAGACCTCACTTACAACACACAACTTCAAAGACAAAATTAAGAATTTCAAATAGCAACAATAGAGCATTAGCCAAGCAAAAGGCCCTTCTGAGCAGGGGTTCTTGTGTAACTGCATAGTTTGCATGCCTGTGAACCAAACATCCAACAAGTTCAGTGACCAAAAGTAACCTCACAGGGTGGTGATCGGATCATAAATTCCTATCTGCGTAGGTCAGGTGATAGTCACGCCCAGGCCTATAACTTTTGAAATAAAAGGTTAGTCTTTGCCTTGAACAAGCCCTGTCCATTGTTCTTGTGCTTCTAGTTTAACACATCTTTGAAAGGCCAGAGTAATCCTCTTTTCCAGACCCCTCAGAGGCAAAGGCACCCTCAGTGGAGCACATAGTCTTGGTAACTATCCAGAAATCCAATCATAGATATTTGCTCACCTTGCTTTTTTCACCTTCATGTAAATTTTCCTTACATTCCTGCCTTAATTCCAGATGTATAAAAGAAATGCAAAACTGTCATTCTCCAGAACATTTGAGATCTTGCTTCCCAGTGTGTCCTCAGTTTGGCTCAAATAACCTCTTATAAAAATTCTCTACAGATTTGGATGTTCTTACATCAACATGCCCATGCCATCCTGAATGAAATTAGGAAGTTACTAAGAAATATAGGTTAGTTGATATAGATAGGCAACTAATAGTCTCTGCCTTGCCAACCTAAAGATATAATTTATTTAACCAAATTTTTTTTTCTTTAATCCTCACCTGAGGATATGTCTTTATTGATTTTTAGAGAAAAAGGAAGGGGGAGAGAGAGAGAAACATCTATGTGTGAGAGAGAAACATCAATTGGTTGCCTCTTATATGATCGAATCTGAAACTCAGATATGTGTCCCAACAGGAATCAAACCTGCAACCTTTTGGTGTATGGGATGATGTTCCAACCAACTGAGCCACCCAGCCTGGCTAATCAAATCTTAATTTTTATATATGTGGGTTGTTTCTTTTTACCATTATCAATATAATTTACAGCCCGGCCGGCATGGCTCAGTGGTTGAGCATCCACCTATGAACCAGGAGGTCACAGTTTGATTCCCAGTCAGGGTACATGCCCGGGTTGCAGGCTCAATCCCCAGTGTGGGGTGTGCAGGAGGCAGCTGATCAGTGATCCTTTCTCATCATTGATGTTTCTATATCTCTCTCCCTCTCCCTTTCTCTCTGAAATCAATAAAAGTGTGTGTGTATATATATATATACATACATATATATTTTTTAAATATACATATGTCATTTACAAACTTTAAAATTGCATCTTTAAGTTTTTAAAAACTTATTCCTAAAGCATATTTCTTTGGAAAAAAATTTCCATGAACTAAATCAAATTAAACACTATATACTTAATTACAGTTGCAATAATAACGACTGTTGTTTTTCTTTTTAAAGAGGGCAATTAAACATACTGATATTTGTCCTGACATGAACACTGAGTGGATGGCTGAAAATAAACACGTCAAAGTATATACCCAAATCATCTGTCAATATCAGGATGCACTGTATCATCTTATATTAATATTATCTATTGCTAATATTGAATATCAGGATGCCTTCTATAATTTGATTTTAATGTTATCAAGTTTCTAGTATTGAGTATACAGATGCATCGTGTCATCTTGAATTAATATTATCTATTTGAAATATGCCAGAACATAAAACCTAAGTGAAAACTAACTATTGTTTACTTTTGCATTAACATTTGCCTAGCATATAATCAAGCTGTTCTTTACTTGATGAAAACTAGTTCTCTGTTCAGTGTTAGTAACTCAAGACTAAAATAACTTGAATGTTCTTAGCTCATTGGTCACATCTTTGCCAAGCTTATCAAATTATTTCCATATGAAATGTAAAAAAGAGTTTACTAGCCTCCAAAACACTTTTATTTGAAGTAAATAACCAGGAAAGAATTTACTTATTCTAACTATTTTTAACCAATTCTTAAGTGACAAGAACTTGTAATTTATTAAACAGAAAGAACAGTTGTCTGCATATTTGGATTCTAGTATGAGGTTTTTCTGAATGAATTTGGGTACAATTAGATTTCAGAAATGGAACCATTAAAATCTGAGTATTACGAGCAAACTATTATTTATAGAGTATAGTTCTACATACTCTAACATTTTGTCCTTCACATATAAATATCTGCATACACGCACCATCTGAGTGTATAAAATTAAACTACCTGAACACCTTTAAAAAATTAAAGTAAAACGTTAAAATGTCTATAAAAAGAAATTCATTAGAGATTTCAAAATATCCGTAAGTGCTAAATAAGGTTTCCAGAAATCAGTGATTATGCTGAAACGTGTCACAAGGGGAACTGTTAACAAGTGTTACTTTGCCAATGGTAGGAAGATTGCCAACCTTTAATTGGCTTTAAAGTTGGTGTTCTATCAATGGAGTATTGTAAAAGGCAATAATGCCCACATTTATGATTTAATCCTGCACCGGGAACTCTAGATTTGACTAAATGTGGCAGTATGCATTAGTCCTTCTAATTAAAAATATTCAAATGCCCACCTTTTACATTTGGTTAGGATGTTGATTATCATGTTTTTATTAAAAAACAGCAACAAAACAAAAGATGTTTGTTTCCACTTTACAATATACAGTGACCAGTCAACCCCCCCCCACCCCCACCCCCGCCCCCTGCTTTGCTATGCATTAACTCTTTTGTCCTAATCATTAGGACCTAATGGAAATACTGAGAATAGTTCTGAAATAGGCTGCTGGGGAGATGCGATTCTACTGAATGAAATGAAAATCTGGCATGGCATTATTCTTTGAATTCTATAAGGGAGGTGTCCTTATTCATAAATGGAAATGAGAGATTATATTGTCTTTAATAAGCAGAGTAAACAATCCTTTCTCCATTGGTTTCTAGATTTCTGTGAATTCCTAACTACTGGACCCTGATCCCGGGGCAATGCAAGAGAACTCATGAATAACAATCTGAACAAACAAATATAAGTAAACTTCCAGTCAAACCATTAAGAGGGAAACCTCAACAGCAAGATCATTTTCCAAGTGTGTGAGGCTTCAGAGAGTGGGAAAAGATCCAGTGAGCTTTTCTGAGGGCACTCTATTTAGTATTCAGTATTCGGCTTATTAACCTGGCAGTCATGTCTTTCTGACTTGAATAGTTTTGTGAGTTAAGGATAGTTTACAACTTTTCTGACTCTTGCAGGTGACTCATTCATCAGATGGCCTTTCTATACCAGCCACGTGTTTCCCACTCCTCTTCCTCCTACTTCATGTGACATTGCACATTCCACATTTTAGCTCATTGAGCATAAGAAATAGGCAAGGCACATGCGGTGACCATAGCTACAAGGCCCCTGTGGCAGACACTGTTGGCTGTCTTCCCAAGGTCATACCAACTTTCCCGGCTTCCTTGCTGGTGTGGCTGTCTCCCACAGCAGAGACAAAAAATGCCAAGTACTCGCATTCTCAGCCTCCCTGGTGACCTTAATTCTGGCCAGTGATGTAAAGGAAAGTCTGCTTGGAATTTATGAGAAAGAAGAAAAGAAAGAAAGGTTTGTCCTCACTCCCCACCTGCCGCCTTTCTGTTTTTAATGTGATTGTGTGAAGATGTGATGCTCAGAACCCAGGAGGCCATGTTGGGACAATGAAGGTCAAGATCAAGAAATTGCAGTGCTGGCCGGGTAGCTCAGTTGGTTAGTGTGGATATGCCAAGGTTGTGGGTTCGATCCCTGGTCAGGGCACATACAAGAATCAACCAATGAGTGCATAAATAAGTGAATAACAAATCAATATTTGTCTCTCTCACCAATCAATCTCTCTCTCTCTCTCTCTCTCTCTCTCTCTCATAATCAATTAAAAAACAAGATCAAGAAACTGCAGAAAAAACAGTGAAGGGAAACAGAGTTTGCCACCCCAAAGTAAGCCTCTTTGCAATATTGATTATTTTGAGCTGATCAATTTTAACAAACGGCAGACATGGGCGAAGCTCTGAAAACTAAGTACAAGTAATCCTTTTAAAGGACATTCACATTTATAAGGGAAATCTCCATTCGTAAGGGTGATTCCCACACTGCCAGAACTTGAAAGGCAGAGGATCATTTTTCCTCCCTAACACCAGCTTAGAGCTTTCTGACTTTTGTTCTGTGATAAAAGTAAGTTATTTTTCACTTGAAAATTTTATTTATATTTTACTTCCATCCAAAAACATCTTAACTAATATTTACTCTTAAAATCAATATAGTTTGCCCACATGAACAGACTGATGATTCAAGATGACTTTCAGGCAGTTCATGGTACCTACCTGGTTATTTCTCGATCCAGTTTCTTTGTTGCTATGGAAAAGCAGTCCTCAACCAAAGGTATGAGGCATGATAGTAAGAAGCTAGGGAAATTCCTTGGCAAGTAGAATGGGGAAACTGAGACAGACAGCTGATTTAAACTGGCCTCATCCAGCACCCAGACTCACCTGCCTCCTTCTCCCTTGCACATCCACTCCCTTAAGCATTAAGCCCTGAAGACAGTGAGGTTCTGATCAGCATCAAATCATCTTAGGAACAAAGCCTCAGGTCTATTGACAACAGACACAGAGTTTTGGTCAAACTAGAGATAACATCTAGGCCAGCGGTTCTCAACCTGTGGGTCGCAACCCCTTTGGGGGTCGAACAGCCCTTTCACAGGGGTTGCCTAAGACCATTGGAAAACACATATTGAATATATAATTACATATTTTTTTGTGATTCATCACTATGCTTTAATTATGTTCAATTTGTAACAATGAAAATACATCCTGCATATCAGATATTTACATTACGATTCATAACAGTAGCAAAACTACAGTTATGAAGTAGCAACGAAAATAATTTTATGGTTGGGGGTCACCATAACATGAGGAACTGTATTAAAGGGTCGCGGCATTAGGAAGGTTGAGAACCTCTGATCTAGGCCTTAGTTGTGTTTTAGCTCCAGGCTCAGAAAAGCAGCAAAACCAGACAAAGTGACACCAAGGCCGACATCAGGACCAGATGCAATAATTAATGACTCCCCTACCTTAGCACCAACCAATCAGTAGAGACCACGAGTATTTAAAGACACACCTGCAAAGCTGATGAATATTCTATTGAGATTCTCCCCGGAAAACGCCCCTAAAATTCCTGCCTTTAGAAAATATAACTCTTAAGACCAAGGACCCAGCGCACACTCTCTAGAGCACTCCCTAGCCTTCTTTTTTCAGGTGTGTATCTTTGCTTTCTTTCTCCTAAACTCTAAGGGTCCCTATGAGACTTGCAACCAAGAGGGCAGTGGGCAGCAGCGGCTCGTGCTGGGCTAACCCCTGAACCAGTCTCCAAGGACCCTTCTTTTGTCTCTGTAACTTGTTTCCTGAGTCCACACAGCCCAGATGATTCACTTCTTCTGCTTCTGTGTGTGACTTTCTTTCTTTCTTCTTCTTCTTTTTTTTTAAACCTCACCAGAGGATATATTTTTATTGATTTTTGAGAGAGAGAGGAACATCAATATGAGCAACATGGATTGATTGCCTCCTGTATGCACCCCAACCTAACTGGGGATGAAACCTGCAACATGGGTATGTGCCCTGACCAGGAATAAAACTGGCAACCTTTTGGTGTATGAAATTATGCTCTAGCCAGCTGAGCCACCTGGCCAGGCCAGGGCTGTGACTTTCTTTTTAAAGCACCAAGGCAACTCTCCGAGCAGCCCACTTGAATCTTCTCTTCTAGTGTACTTAAGCTTCACACGTTAAGTAAACTCCCTCTCGTGCACTAGAGCCCTTGGCTCTGATTTTTTTTTTTGCCGAACTCAAGAACTGAGAGCAACATTGTCAGTAACAGGTATACATGTCATTTGTTGAGATTTAAGTCAAATCTAAATAGAACAATGGCTTGTTAAACAATTTATCCTTTGTGACAAAATTCAACCATCCCAACACTAATGCAATCTTTGTCCTTGATACTTCTATAAACATAAGACAGAATGCCTGTGGACATAAAAATGTGTTTCTCGGAAAAATAGACATTTAAAAATCATTGTGGATAGCATCGTTTGTGGAATGTAAAATATGAAAAGACTCCTCACTACTAAGAGCCAAAAGTAGTGATAAGAACTCAAAAAGAAAAACAAAATTGACTTCCATTTTTTTTTGTTTATGCAACTCATTCTCATGTAATCACAAACTATAATAAAAATTGTAAGTATTTAAACTTGAGGTTTTGAGTTCATCTCAGGAACATTGGCAAAAGGAATCTTTTGCATCTATTCTCAGAAAAATTGGCAAAAACCTACTGTCTCCCATAAACATAACAATTATTTGTTTAGGCAGGAGAATAAAATATGGAAAGGATATTACATTTGTTAGGAAATTGGCTTCAGAGTCAGATCTATCTATCCTGAGGCTATCACTAAATTAATTTGGAGCTCAAATATCAAATCCTGACTAAATTACCTTGTCTGATAGTCTCTCCCTTCTTCTGTTGGGGAGAAAAAATTATCCTCTAACCTTTGAGTTCTCTGGCAGGACTTATAATCAAATTAATATGAAAAAAATTAGAAGGAGAAAAACATTAAAGTTTAATAACATGCATGCCTCTTGAATATACATAAGAGAGACCCAGGAACACTGAGTAGCTTGCCAAAATGGCAGAAGCCACCACCAGAAATACCACCTCCAGCTAAAGACAAAAGACGTTATGGGAGATTACCAGGGAAAGCACAGCAGACAAGGGTAAGATTGTTACTCAGATTTAAGTCCCTGTCTTCTCCTTGATAATGAAGGCAAGCCTGGCACAGAGAGGGAAACTATACAATGGAAATAAATAGTTTTCCTTACAAATGGAAAAGATCTTTACAAAGGGTAACTTGTTTTTCAGACTATCTCCCATCCCTGCTGTTTGTTAAAATTAACCAGCCTAAAATAATGAATATCCCAAAGTGGCATATTTTGGGCTGGCAAAGTCTGCTCCCCTTCACTGTAACTCAAAAGTTATTTTAAAATTAAAAAGTTTATTTAAAACATATACTAGGCTTATGCCCTATATTCTCCTAGTGTGTTCCATTTGCTAGTGACTACAGTCAAAGATCAAACTTGCCTGGCCGGTGTGGCTCAGTGGTTGAGCGTTGACCTATGAACTAGGAGGTCATGGTTCGATTCCCGGTCAGGGCACATGCCGGGTTGTGGGCTCAGTCCCCAGTGTGGGGCTTGCAGGCAGCCGATCAATGATTCTCTCTCATCATTGATGTTTCTATCTCTCTCTCTCCCTCTCCCTTCTCTGAAATCTATAAAAATATATGAAAAAAAAGATCAGAGCACCCTTGTTCCTACTTAAACCATCAGGCCCACATTCCAGACAGGAAACAGGAAGGGAGTGGTTGGACCAGAACTTATTCTGATGGCTGGAGAATTGTCCTCTTTTAGCTGAGCACACTGTTGCCTGGGGGAAAAAAAGATAATTCTGTTACTAAGAAAGAAGATAAGAATGGATATTGGGTAGGCAACCAGCAGTGTGCACAGACCTCCACATGACAATGAAAATGAAGTTGAAGCAAGGACAGTGTTCCTCTAGGGAGCATGAGCATGAAGTTTGTAGTCTGATTAAAACCTGGATTTGATACTACCTCTGCTACTTATTAGCTATAGGGCCTCAGGCAAGCTACTCTCTGAGACCTAATTTTCTCTTGAATAAATGGGGAGGGGAAAAAATGTGCTTAGCAAGGTTACTGTAAAGATTAGCTGAGATAATAAGAGGAGTTTTTAAATTATCTACTGAAAGGTGATTATTAAAAAATATATTTTTATTGATTTCAGAGAGGAAGGGAAATGGAGAGAGAGATGAAACATCAATGATGAGAGAAAATCATAGATTGGCTGCCTTCTACACACACCCCACTGGGGATTGAGCCCACAACCTGGGCATGTGCTCTGACTGGGAATTGAACCCTGACCTCTAATGCTCAACCACTGAACCATGCTGGCTGGGCTGAAAGGTGATTTTAAAAGAGGAGATCCAGGGCAGGAGCTGTACCTAGAAGAGACTCCCAGGACAACTTCATGTTGAAAGCAAAAGCTATTTGATTCTCACAGGTCTGAGAGTGGTCTCCATGGGCTGCGTTCTTTCTGGGAGGCCCAGAGCCTTTCTGCCATAGTGGTCAAATTCTCTGTGATGGTTAATTTTCTGTGTCAACTTGGCTGGGCCATGGTGCTCAGATATATGGTCAAACATTATTCTAGCTCTTTCTGTGAGGGTGTTTCTGGATGAGATTAACATTTACATAAGTGGATTTTTCGTAAAGAGACTGCCCTCCATAAGGATGGCCTCATCCAATCAGTTGAAGCCTAAACAGAACAAAAAACTGACTTCTCTTAAGCAAGAGGGAATTCTGGCAGCTAGAGGCCTTTGGACTTCAACTGCAATGTTGGTTCTTTCCAGGGCATCCAGCCTGATGATCTTTGGACTTGAACTAAAAATTTTGGATTTGTCAGACTTCAAAATTGCTTAACCCAATTCTTTAAAATCTCTCTCTCTCTCTCTCTCTCTCTCTCTCTCTCTCGCTCTTGCTCTCTCATACGTGTGTGTGTGTGTGTGTGTGTGTGTGTGTCTTTTCTATTGGTTCTGTTTTTCTAGAGAAGCCTGAATAATACATTCTCTAACAGAAAACCCAGGGATTAACTTTATTGTAGCCTCTTTGAGCCTAGTTTCTCTGTTGGGAAAAATTACCCTATTAACACATGTCATTAAAATATCATGTATTTGATATCACAAGATGATGACTCAATAACAAGAATACTGGTTACAGTGAGCTTCTGTTATGAAGGGCAAGTGGGGGGTTGGGGAATGAACTCTTAGCTGTGTATAAATATACCTTGCCTACTCCAGCTATTTTAGGACAGAAAATACCATCATACATAAGGTAGGGACTATATAAATAAAAATGTAATATTGACTATATGTTTTATTCATATTACTTTTCAATACTGAGCTGGTGATTTCCTGGAATGCTTATTAATGTGAAAATTAATTGCATTTCTAAAAACTTTTTGCAGATTTTAAAATACAACTTATTAGCAAATACAGCACAACCACAAACACTTTCCAACTGTGAATACATTTATTCATCATTCCTTGATACTTTTTCATCATATATCTCAAAGTGCATTCTTAGTATTTGGTTGGGAAAACGTCAAGTTGGTGCTGAAATATAACTATTGAACTGGATGTGATTTTTCTATTATCCTATCTAATAATAGACAAACATGGTAATTAACCATACCTCCGACACACTTCCCATTGGCTAATCAGAGCGCTATGCAAATTAACTGCCAACCAAGATGGCAGCCGGCAGCCAGGCA